ATCATGGTGACCAGATTCACAACCTTATTCTTCTGACTTTCTCAAAATGTGGCCTGAAACTCCTTCATCTCAGACCAGGAATCCTGAATCAGAATGGCCCCCACTTACCCTTAGCAGGGCTTTGCTTGGAAATTGCATTACAACAATGCCTCGGCACCAGCACAGGGCACAACAGAATCAACATGACTTTTGTAAAGGAAAATCATTCCTCTCTAGTCTATTACAATTCTTTGAAGGGGTTAAAAATCATGTGGAGAAGGAAAATCCAGTGGATACAGTGTTCTTGGACTTCCAGAAACACATTTGACAAGCTCTGTCACCAAAGCTCTTAAGCAAAGTAAATGAGATAAGAGGGAAGGTCCACTCCTGGACCAGTAATTGGTTAAAAGACAGAAAACAAAGAGTAGGAATAAATAATCAATCTTCACAATGGCGAGAGGTAAATAGTAGTTTCCCCTGAAATCTTTAGTAGAGCCAGCGCTGTTCAATATATTCATAAATGTTCTAGAAAAAGGGGCAAACAGTGAGGTAGCAAAATTGACAGACAATATAAAATTACTCTGGAAAGGAAAGTCCAAAGAAGACTGCAAAGAGTTACAAAGGGATCTCGCAAAATTGGGTGACTGGCAACAAAATGGCAGATGAAATTAAATGTTGATAAATGCAAAGTAATACACAGTGGAAAACATAATCCCAACTATGCATACAAATGATGGAGTCTAAATTAGCAGTTACCGCTCAAAAAAGAGCTCTTTAAGTCTTCATGGCTAGTTCTCAGAAAACGTCTGCTCATCAATGTTCAGCAGCAGTCAAAAAAGCTAACAATGTTAAGAACCATTAGGAAAGAAATGTGTCTCTCTAAATCTGTGTTACACCCACACTTTGAATACTGTGTGCAATTCTGGTCGCACTCTCTCAGAGATATATTAGTATTGGAAAAGGTACATACAGAGAGGCAAAAAACGATTGGGGGACAGAACCAGTTCCATTTGAGGAGTGATTGAAAAGACTGGTACTGTTCAGCTTGAAAAAGAGACAACGGGAAATATGATAGAGGTCTATAAAATTATTAATGGAGTGGAGAAAGTAAATAAGGACGTGTTATTTACCCCTTCCATAACACAACAACCAGGGGTCACCAGATGTAATTAATAGCAAATTAAAAAGCAAACAAAAGGAAGTACTTCTTTACACAGTGCACAGTTCATCAGTGGCTCTTCCTGCCCGGGGATGTTGTGAAGGCCAAAAACTATAATGGGATTTTAATCTTAGATGCAGGGCCATTGATGGCTGTTAATCAAGATGATTAGGAGCCAACCCCATGCTACGGGTGTCCTAAGCCGCTAACTACCAGAAGCTGGAAATAAAGAGCCCCTGGGACGGATGAGTTGATGATTGTGTGGTGTTCATTCCCTGTGAAGCATCTGGAATTAGGGATCTTTAAAAATGGTTAATTAGGTAACTGTGTAACCATTAAAAATCTTTGCAGTTACACATTGCAGGCTGTGCAGTATAAAGATTATAATACAGAGCCTGCAGCTCAGCTGGCTCCTTGGGAGTGGGGCTGGCAGCCATTGTGCACCGGGAGTTGGCTCCTGGCTGCCGGTTTCACTCCCAGGAAGCTGGCTGCACTGTGAGAGGAGTATGCACCAGCTCCTGCCTGTCGCCCACTCTTGGGGAGTGCTGGGAGCCAGCTTAAAGCCACCCCATGCTGCCACCCCATGCTGGATGCTCTGATACAGAGCCAGCAGTGCAGAGTGGCAGGGGGCTCCTCAAAAGTCCCTGCCCCCGGGGACTATAGAATAGTCGAGTAACCAGTAAGAATTCATGAGGTTCATTGACTGCTCGATTAACCGCCCTGGCATTGAAGTCAGGATACTGGGCTAGGTGAACAATTGGTCGGATCCAAAAAGCCTTTCTGTGTTGCATTCGACACAGCATAAGGTGGTCCCTCCCCCAGAAAGCTCACTGCCAGAATAGACAAAGGATGGGAGGGAAAACTGAGGCACGGGAGATAGGACTTATACAGCAGATCAATAGCTGAGCCAGTGTCGTCAGTTTCCATGAAGTGCCCTAGCGCTATAACCCAGCCATATGACTCTGTGAGTGTATTGGATGGAGCGGTCATGTCTGAACTCATAGCAATCCATGTGCTAAAGCACTGTGAAGCTGGTTTCTAATGAAGGAGAAAGGAGTATAGTATTGTATGGTTGACAATTTCAGTCACAGAAACTGTTGGTTTTTGGAGGGTCTTGACTGTAGAACACTTCATTGTGTAATCCTGAAACATGCTTATTGCTCTGGGAAGTGGTAGCCAGGTTGCCTGGGTCTGAGCTGGTAGCTCCCAGGCTGTGTGTGAGAGCTTATGGAAGTATCAGGTTTTGCCACACCTTCTGAGTTGCCTAGCAGGATCCATGAATGTGGAGAGGAAATGATCTCTCAAGGTAACCATGTAATTGATTTACCAAGAGTGAGGGCAGCCGTGCCAGGCACACACCTGCCTGACCTCCAAAGGGTTAAGCTAGTTTTTGGAACAGGTGTGCCTTTAGCTTGCTTGGCAACTTCCTCCCATCTCTGCCTCCTTTGTACTTAATGTTACATGAGTCCCTGGCTGGACAGCACAGTAAGGAAGCAGGCGTGGCTGTTTTTTTGGGGAGTGGATGGGAGCAGAGCTGGACATTCATCTCCCCCGCTCTGTTTCCTTTTCTGGAAACATACAGGGTGCAGTGTAATTGTTCCTGTGTCTGGATGGTGGAGGGTGCAGGGTCAGAGTCAGAAATGGAACCCAGACCCTCCTCATTAAATACCCTTGGAGGGGTCTTTGAAGCTTACTGGAGACAGAAGCTCTCACTGGATCATTTATTTAGTAGGATAGTGGCAGCATCCATCTGTAAAGATACACGCTTGGTATCTTTAACCACTGATCTGTTAAGTCTTACCTCAGTTGGGTTAAGCTGTCCTCTCCCCTGGGGTCAGGATGGAAGGTAGCCCACAGTGGGTTGCATTTGTTTTCCCTTCCTTGAAGAGCATAATTCAGGAACCCACACTAAGCACTGTGCAGTACTAGTGTGGGGCTGGTGCCAGGATCCCCAGCATAAAGAGTTTGTGGTCATTCAGAACACTTGAAGCTGGAAGGGCCTGCTAGATTAACTTGTCTGACTTCCTGTATAACAGGCCAGAGAATCCCTCCTACTGCACCCAGGACTGAGACCTCCTCAGATAGAAAAGCAGTATGAGTAGTGGGACTCTTGTTGTTCCCTCAGTAGGGGGTGGAGAACTACACTTGGAGGTTTACAGGGTTGTTCTTAGAAGTGAAGGGGGGTCCCTGCCCAGCAGTGTCCTGTGACTGCAGCAGAAAGCTGCTGTTTTCCATCTAGCTCCTGCTCCTCCACAAAGCAGTGTGGGATGCTTTTCAGCAGTGGGACTGCAGCATGCCCCAGCTTTAGCCGAATCCTCAGTGGGATCTGCTGTGATCCCTTGACTCTTGGGCAAGTGTGGGCAGGCCAGTGTTCCAGGTATTTTGGGGCTGCTGCCAGCCCACCCAGTTGAATGGTGTGTTGGCTGCAGTCTGTGTGTGGGGAGGTGGATGAGGGCTTAGTACCATGTTTCTCCAGATCCCTGGTGTCCCTGCATGTGGCAGGGCCCAATAAAGTATAGCCTGTCTTTGGAGGGCTGAGTGCTCTATCTTGCTAGTCATTGTGAGAAGCTGGATATCAGACAGGGTTCCACAAAGCATACTGGGTAGGGTTGCCAGATAGACCCTGCCAAATAGGCTGCTCTGCTCTGCTCCCTTCCTCCTTGCTGCTCAGTTGATCTCTAGGCTGGGCTTCTAACTCCTCCTGCCCTTTTGTTACAGGCTAGACCCTGGTCACTGTAGCCTGGATCCTGCTCCTATGAGGAATCTGGGGAACATCGGGCAGCTGTGGGCACTTCCCACGCAAGCATGGACACAGAAACCACAGTCTCGGTGCAACACCATGGGGAATATGAGAGAAAGAAATGCTGAATTCAGCGGTACCTTGGCAAAATGTAGTATTTCACAGTGGTGGAGTCACAGAGCCCATGAACTCTTGAGAGGAACAGGGCAGGTCTCACCTCTCCAGAAGAGTCTGAAACAACAGCTTGAAGACTGAGGCAGGCATTACTATATCATTTTCCCTTGCTCACATTTATGAGCTTTTCATCACAATCATAAAGGCTAAAATCATTTTTATTTCAAATAAAACTGAAGATTTTAGAGCCTGATTCTGTGGCAGTGTAGTGAATTCTGCAGCTGACACCTGGGGCTTTGTGAGCACAGGCTACTGAAATTGGGTCTCAGCATGAAGTTTGTGTATGACCGAAAGTGAGTTATGTTCGCTGTTTCTCTAGTACAGGGGTGGGCAAAAGGGCTTCCAAGGGCTGGATCCAGCCCGTGGACGCTCTGCTGCGCCCCCGTCCCCAAGCCAGTTAGGGCCTGGGGGCAGAGGCTCTGCCATTCCCCTGCCTGTTCCCCTACCCCCAGAACAATTAGCTCTGATTGGCCTGGGGGTAGGGGAGTGTGTGAAGCCTCCTCCCATCCTGAGAGGGGTGTGCAGCACTTTGAAGTGCCGTGTGGCACTCCTCGCAGGGGGGGAGGGCAGAGGAAACTTCACGCGCTCCTCCCGCCCCCCGGCCAATCAAGGCTTGGGGGCAGAGGAACACTTGAAGTCTCCTCCCGCCCTGCCAGGAGCGCAGGGTGGAGGAAACTTTGTGCGCTTCCCCCGCCCCTAGGCTCTAATTGGCCTGGGGGTGAGGGAGTGTGTGAAGCCTCTTCCCGTCCTGCCAGGGACCCAGGTGCTTAGTGGGAAGGGGGGGCAAAGGGGCTCCCTCACCCCCAGAGCAATCATGGTCTGTGGGTGGGGAAGCCTGGAAGCATCCTGGCCCCGCCCCTTCCAGGTGGCCCAGGGCCACTTCAGAAATTATTGCCCACACCTGCTCTAGTAGCGTCTAACCTAACCGATGTATGTCTGTCTCCACAGCCGGTGCTGGGCCATACAGAGTCCAAGGCCAGCAACAAGTCCAACATGCTGCGGGGCCGCAACTCTGCCACCTCCACTGATGAGCAGCCGCACATTGGGAATTACCGCTTGCTCAAGACCATCGGCAAGGGCAACTTCGCCAAGGTCAAGCTGGCACGCCACGTCCTGACGGGGAAGGAGGTGAGACCTGTGAGGCGAGGAGGCAGCACAGCACCTGACTGGAGAGGGTGTGGGGCCAAGCCCATCAGCTCGGGTGCAGGCTAGAGGCCAGGGCAGATGTTCCTAGGCTGGGGCAGCATTGCTGCAGGGGGTAGGGGCGTGCGACGATGGAGTGTCTACATGATAGTCTCTCTGAGACTTGGTCTCCTGTGGCGACTAGTGGCTAGTGTATTAGTATCTGGCCTTGCTACTGTGTGACCCTTGGCAAGTCCTTTCTGTCTCTGCCTCTGCCTCTGTTCTTTGTGACAGGCCCCTCGGCCATTCGCCAGGGCCTGATAGGCTACCACTCCTCTGCACTGCATTTGGTGGGAGGGGGTGCCTCCTCTGACAAATGGGTAAGCTGAAGCACGAGAGGAGGCAGAGCCTGGGTCTCCTGACTCCAGTATGTCTACACAGCAGTTAAAAACCTGCCGCTGGCCTGTGCAGGACTAAGGGGCTGTTTCATTTCAGAGGAAACATTTAGACTCACGATGGAGACTGGGCCCTAGGACCCGGCAGGCTGGGAGGGTCCCAGAGCCCCAGTGTTTATACTGCTTTAACCAGCTCATTGGCTAGAGCCTAAGTCCACTAGCACAGACCAGCCCCAGGTAGCTGCTAACTGCAGTGTGTAGACATCCCCTGCCCACCTGCCCTGGAACTGCCGTGTTGTGCTCCCTCCCGCTTGGAGCACTTTGCAAGCCTGCAAGGCCTCCAACCCGGAACAAGTGCGCGCGCTCAGAGATGCCAAGTGCCGTTCATTGCCAAGCTGCCAGGCGCCCAGCCCAGGCTCCCACCCCCTGAAGCAGATGGCAACAGATGCACCCCAGCACGTGGCTCTGCTGCAGCCACTTGGGTGGTTAGAGGCAGTCCTGAATCCTAGCCAGGGACCCTGACAGGTTTATCCCCACTGCCTTAAAGCCTTGTGCACTTGTGGGAATGTGCTAGAATCCTGCTCTGCTCAGCAAGACTGCAGGTGGGTGGAAGAACCCAGCCTTGTTTCTGCCTGGCCTTCCCATCCTGTCCTGCCAGGATAGGCCCTGCTGGTCGGGTGGGAGGTGCCTTGGCCCTGCTACTTCTGCAGCTTCTCTCCCCCCCTCCCCTTCTCAAGATGCTGCCTAGCCTCAGGAAGGGCCCTGGGGCAGAGTGATGTAAACAAAGTGGGCCAAACTGGAGAGTGATCCCGAGGTGGGATCTTCTCTTTGAGATGCTGGAGCCTGCCCCTGTGAGCAGCTCAGCCAGAGCAGATGCTGTTATTTACTTTTCTTTGGGTGTTTGTTTCTTGGGGGGGACTTGTATTTTTCTCTGGAACAGAGCAGGTTCCATCCTGCCTTCTCCCCCAAAGCTCCTAGTGCCCCCTCCCCTCTTCTGGGGCAGGAGATGAACCATCACATTTTTCCCAGCATGGGGAGCAAACAGAACCAACCAGCTCATGGCTAGTTCTGCTGCCCCCTGCCCCCAGTACAGCAGCTCTGCTGAGCTGCCCCTCCT